GGAAACAGAACGGTTTTCTTCTGTGGCAGAGAAAGCAAGTTTCTAGCAGCTGCCCTGCTCCAAGACTTGAGAGGTAGGATGGGTCAAAAAAAAAAAAAAAAAAAAGAACAGGTGGGAACACGTAGCTTTTGGCACATTGCTGAAGTCTAGAAAAACTGAACAGAGCCTTGCCTTGGCATCTGTTGGCATGGTTAGGCTGGGGCAGCCTGACAGAGGCCAAGTTCATTGGGGTGTGGGGGGGAAGCAGAGAGCTGGGACCAGGGGTGACTTGGTGCTAAATGAGTAGAAAAGGGAAAGCTGGGTCTCACCTTTGTCCTATGAGTTGGGGATGGGGCTTATTACACAGACATAGGATAGGGGCTTCTTGTGACCAGACCCCAGAAAACTGTATTATATAAAAGAAGTAGATTTAGGCTTTACCGACAAATATCACAGGCCTACTTTGTGCTAATCCCCTAAAGGAATCACATCTAGAGATGGTCAGGGTCAGAGGTAGTCCTAGGGACCAGTCCTTCTTCTTGCAGCTTTCAAAAGCTGATAGCCAACGCTCTTTCTCACCTGCCCACCTTTTCCCATAAGCAGGCAGTATCTTTGCGCCCATAGCACACAGGGTCCAGCAGTGGAGGCTGCAGCTGGTCAGAAGAGCTGGGAGAGAGAGAGAGGCCCTTTCAGGAATGCAGTCCCTGGAGGCTTCTCCCGCCCCGCGTGCAGGATTCCAAAGGTCTGAGATAAACCCCAGCATATAGTCCAGCAAAGATGCTTTGCTTTGGGCTCTATTCCTCTGGGAGAGCACAATTGCCAGAGAGGGCTTTTATTTTAAAACCCTCTTTCCCTCCCACTAAGGGAAGAGGTTGGTGGCAGGCGTTGGGAAAGCTGTGTCGGGGTCGGGAAGGGAACATTCTACCAGGGGTGTGTATCATTTTACATTCTCTGCTCTCACACACTCTCTTCGTCTCTATTGTACCCTGAAGAATGGTCTAAAAACCTCCGAGGGCTTGAGTTAAGATCTCAATGATTTCTAACGTAACTCTGCTTCTACTATATTTTTGCTCCCAAGGCTTTCCACTGGGTCGAGTTTTCAATTTGAACAATGGTTCAAAGGCTGAGAGACAAACTGCTCATTACTGGAACAAGTGCCAGGAATCCTGGGAAGCAGCCCCCGCTCCCCACTGGAGTCCGGCACCTAATAGTAATGCCTCCTTTCATCGTCACCGGAGGGCTGGGCCAGGGCTTCTTTTCATTCTCCTTTCCTTTCAGTGGCTGCTGGGATAAAAGCAAGTGGAGGAGAACAAAAATTTCACAAACAGGACCAGAATAAAATATTTAGGGCAAGAGATCAGAAGTTCTTTGGTTATTCAGTGAACTGAACTAACTCTCCTTTAAAAAAGTATAAGGAAATAAATGTCCGTCAAACCCCATGTCACTGTGGGTATTAGCCTTTCAACCCCACCTCGCGGGCCCTGAGCCACACATTCATGCCTTAGCAAGTCTCTGTGTGACATGCAGACGAATACAGGAGGGAAAATGGAGCCGTTCTGTCATTATCAGTTCTGCTCCCAGTATTTGTTGTGTCTTTATTCTGAGAAGCATTCCATCAAAGTTGTTACATGGCCCATTCTCTTTCAGTTCTCACCCCCAAACCCAGTCAGAGATGAATGCCAGGATTGGGAGGGTTATCGCCACCACGTTAGGGACCTTAGAGCAAACCCAGGCACTTCAGAAGGGCTGTTCAAGCTTTCTATCACTAGTCCCTTCCCTTCCAAAGTACAGCCTGGGTGGGAGGATGGGGTTCAAGGGACATGAGAAGCACTGTACTAAAACTTAACGCCTTCATTCATTATTAAGTGATCTCCTTGGAGTACTTGTCAGAAAAACGACTTCAAATATCTGGTTTTTACATGGCAGTCAAAACCAAAAGGTGAGGTCAGGGGCAGGGGCGGGGGGGCCAGGCGGGGAGGTTGCTCCAGCCCAGAGCTAAGGTTCATTTGATCAGAACAGGTGTCTCTAGAGCGGTCAAGAAGCAGGTAGGCAGGACCACTACAGCTTCCTTCGTAGCCACCCTAAGTCTGACGGAGGTGTGTGTGATGAGCCCATCCTGGCAATGGGAGGGCTCTTTTCCGGCACCTATCAATTAACAGGGCTTAAGAAACATTCTATGCCCAAGCAATCCAGGCTAAAAATAACTCTGTGGGCTATTTTTTTTTTCCGTTTACTCATCCACAGAAAGCATGTCAACAAGATCTTTGCTCCTTGAGCATTTTCATCCCTGCTTCCTCCTCCCTGAAAATACTCGTCCGATACAATCAGACGAGTTGCAGGGTTGGAGTCAGACACACAGAACAGCAAAACTATGCTGATGGAACTAAACTTCGGGACTGCCAAGTGTTCGGAGAAAAATAGGAAAATAAAAGAGCCCAGCATTCACAGACAGGGTAATTTAAAATATAGATCCTCCTCCCTCCTCCTCCTCCCTTATAAACGACACAATTCTTTGACCATAATATATTTAGAGATATATATAGAGAGATATAGATATATACATAGATATATATATCTGATTTATACACAGGATTCACTCTACCTTAACACTAACAGCTGAGTGCTCACTATGGATGAGGTACCTTTCTAAGAACTTGAGGTGCATTCACTCATTAATTTAAACAACCCTATGAGGTAGACAGGATTATTTCAATTTCACGTTTGAAAAACACTGAGGCACCGGGAGATGAAGTGACTACTGTCCGAGGCCCTGTCCGAGGCCCCTCTGCTAGTAAGTGGCAGAGCCAAGGTACAAACCCAGGAAGTCTGCCCCTGGGGCCCATGCCCTAACCATTACACATACCATTTACGCAACAATTCTGCACCAAAAACAGATAATGACCTACAAAGCTGTGTAGGTCATTAATTCCTACAAAGCTGTGTCTCCCTATCACACGTCCATTTACATTTGCTACATTCAGTGGATGCCTAGTCCTATAGTTCATCTTCATGTGAAAACAAGGATCAACAGGAACTTACGTCTCATCTAAAACATATTAATCAACTCTTAAACACACCAAATGTTACCCCCTTTCAAATACAAAAATGCACTGAGATAACTGTTCAAGCATCACAATGATTTTCTAGCTACAGGAAACTTGGCGAAATTAAGGCCCTGGACACCTTCTTCAGTTTAAGCAGTCAGTGCTCAACAGATCTCGTGGCTATAAGAGAACAGCTAGTCTTCTGAAAAAAAAAAAAAAAAAAAAAAAAAAAAAAAAGAAGAAAAAGTCAATTTTAACAAGACCCTGATCAGAATTGTTTAATTCTCTGAAGAACTATTATGATGACCAAGAATGGAGAAAGTTCCTTATGCTTCATGAATCACTAATAGATTTGCAAACATATCAAAGCCCTGGCCTGCTCAGCTGTGGGAGCAGTTTAGGTGTGCAGTTTACAAAGGCATCTGCTCCTTTTGCTCAAAGGTCTTTCTTAACTCGACTGAAAACTTTGTCTAAACATTCTTCAGTCTCTCCCATGTCCTAAACTCTTTATTCCATACTTTAAAGTATACTAGAAACCATGTTTTAAAACACCATTCTTGAATTGATTGGCTTCTGAAATCAATTATTAAATACCTTTCAAGTATTGAATATTTTGCCTGAGCCCTAAAGGTCTCTCAAACGCAGTCTTGTGGTGAAGCAAACAGCCGACTTGTCTGGAGTCACCTAAGTGTTTACAACCCGAGCGCTGATGTCACTGTTTGGATGACAAAGGCACATCAGGAAGTTTGGCTAAATAAGCTAAATTTGCCTAGCGCTGCAGGGCCTCCTCCCACATCTGGTTTGACACCAGCGTTTGCCTTTCACTGATGCATTTACTTTCTACAGAGAGAACAACAAAAGAAAAAGCCCTGAAAACTCTACCCTGACAGCCAGCGGAATGCAGAGGTGGGCTTGACCAGCTGGGCCAGCCAGTCTCCTGGCTTCCCTCTGTCGGTTTTTTTCCGTAACAAAGTGAAAGATGACCCACATTACATAGTTCAACAGGAAACAAAAAGATTTAGTGAAACAGCATTCTTTGTGGATGGGAAAGCCTTCCAAAGTTGGCACTTAAATTATTTAATATTAAGGCACCATCAGATTGAGCTGTAAAAAATTAAATTGTCCTAAACTGACTTTAGCAAAAAGTCAGTTGTAGTGGCAAGTTTAAAGAAACTGGCAGGCCACTGATATTAGTATCTAAAAGCAGTCCCCCGATCTAGGGGAGAAACCTTAAACGTGTCTCTCTTGATACTTAATGAAGTCAGCAAACAATATCCCCTGTCTGTGCTTGACTGATATTAAGAACCACACCTTCAATTTCCCAGCCTGGACCTTAGTTCCCCTCTTCCCCCTTCCCTCCAGGCCCAGACAGGTGATTACAAACAAAGACACAGTGAAATTGCTTTAAAATATTTAATACGTGTTAAACACGTAGAGTTACATTTTTATACAAAAACCAATACAACGAAGGAGAAAATACTGTACAAAAACCTTGTCAGTTCCCCCAACCTTTATACAACAAAGACTGGAGTCACCGTATCTACAAAACCATAAGGTCTTTCCACTTAGGGGTTCTGTCTGTAAACTTTTGTTTCATTAAACACTTTTAAAAAGCGCTGTGTAGTAGTTCTGAGCTACAGCTTTTAACATATATATATATATATATATATATATATATATATATATATATATATATATATATATATATCTTTCCTCTATAAACTCCATATTTCCAAGCTTGAACTCTTCTGTGAAGTTCATCAAGCTTTTTCCCTGTGGGGAAGACAAGGGCCCCTAAGATTCCCCTTTCCCAGAGTAATCACAGGGTTTAAACGTTTCTTCGGTGAGAGAAAGGTGGGGAGGGAAAGAAATAATACAAGTCTCTACCCCGACTAAACCACTCTAGTCTTATAAAATCCTGCGAGGAAAGGCCACTCCCGGCCCTGGTAGGTTTCTAGCTTTCATGTGAAGGGTGTGTGTAAAGTCCCTTCCTGCCTCAAGAACGAATGGGGAACTCCCCGGCCCTTTTAGCCGCTTCCTTCTCGGTGCTGCTGGTAAAGGAAAGTCCCTGTCTGCCCCCAGTCTCCCAAACCCTGGGGAAGAGTGATGCATTCCAGAAGGACAAAATAGTCTTAATTCACAAGACAAACTTACATACACAGACACACAAATTAACAATCGTCCTCTTCCAATAAGCCTCACACTCTCAAGTCTTGAGAGGCCCCAAGACAGAGGCCAATAGAGCAGGGCCACCAAGGGCAGTCCCCGCTGCCCCGCGGCACCAGTCTTCCCCGCGCGCTCAGCGCCTACGGTCTCCGCCGTGTCTTTGCAGCCAGGAAAGGCCCGGCACTCGCGTTCACGCCCGCTGCTCAACCTCCTGCCCACATGGGGACCGACAGGGGCTCAGAAGGCCACGATGGCTGTGCTCCAAGGGTTCATGTCTCTCAGCACTGGCTTATCGCAGCAGATCTGCCCAGGCTCAGTGGCTTCCGGATTGCTCCCCTCTCCCTTGGCTTCCTCCGGGCTGCCCCCGGGGCTTTTTCGTAAGAGTCCTGAGAAGCTGGAACCAAAGATACTAATGAGGTTAGCCACGTTCCCGGTCTCCATCTCCTCCTCTTCCTCCATCCTGCCAGGCTGCTCCTCCAAGTCCCAACGGGGCTTCTTCAGAGGGGTTGAGCCAGGGCAGCCCGCGGGGCCACAGCCGCCCACCCCCGCCGCGCTGCGCTTCCTGGGGCAGATGGGGGGCGGCACCGGGGGCTTGTCCTCCGCGGAGCAGCAGTCACCGTGGAGAGGTGCGCCCCGCACTCCCGGCTTCTCCCCCGCACCAGGGAGGCAGCCGCAGTAGTGGCGCGCCGCTCGGGGACCCTCAGGGAAGACGTCTGAGCCTCCGGCTGGGTCCCCGGCTTCCGCGGCCGCTGCCTCGGTGCTCTGAAGAGTGTTCCTGGCGCCGGTCAGGGCAGCCTCGGGCTCCAAGCCACCTGCCCGAGGAGCGTCTGGGACTGCGAGATGTTCCAGCTCCGGCTCGCTGTCTCGCCAGGTGGCGGGAGCAGGCGGTGGGGGTGGCTCCCCCCAGCCGGCTGGGGGCCCGGCCACCAGCTCCCCGGGTAGCTGCGGAGGGGTCCCAGAGGGACCAGCCAGGTAGAGACCAGGGCACGGGTCGCTCAGGTAGACCTGGCGGGCGCTGCGCAGCACCAGTGAGACCAGCAGGTTCTTGTGCAGCTTGATGCCACCGCGCTGGACCCGTGAGTTGTAGATCTTGCCTAGGGAGATGCTGACGATGCGGTGTGCCTCCAGCTTGAACTCCATCCTGCCTGCCGCCCCTTCACCAGCTGGCGGGTCGGAGGTGATGGCCGAGCCCGGGCTTCTCTTCAGACACCGGGAGAGGAATTAGAGGCCTCAACAAGTCCGCCCCACGGGTGGACCCTCAACAGCTGAACACTACAGAGAGAAATCAATGTCGATGACGCCGACGCGCTCGCTGAACCCCACGACCCCTGCGCTATCGACCAACGCTCAGTTTCTTGTCCGGTCGCTAAGTGAGCGTAGCGCTACAGCCCCACACTTTATATAGACTCCTCACCCGCCAATCGAGAAGGGCCGGGCAAGCCGACACGCCCCTGTGAGCAGCGCTCAGCCAATTGGAGCTGGAGGAGGGGCACCAGGGCTATTCGAACGTTTGTCCCGCGGAGTTGGCTCTTAAAGGGGACGAAGTGTACAGTGAGGGACTGGCTGGTGAGGGAACCTGTGCTGAGGGTGGGTGATGGGGAGGAGGCTTAACCACTGTATTGTTTGTAGGTAAAGGGTCTGGTTTGGGCATTGGCTTGCCATAACCGAAGCAAAACAAACCTTTGGAACTTTCATCCGAGTAGGGAGATGGACTTTGCTCTGCAATAAAGTCCCAATCCTTCCCTGATCATCCTGCGCCCCCATCCCCACCTTCACTTCCAAGGCATCGCACACCTGTAAGCTCCTGGCCACCCCTGGCAGCAAGGGAGATGACAGCAAAACGTGGCAAGGGATACCCCTGGATAACAAACAGTATTACCAAAAGTATTCGGCACCTATGAATTCTGCATGAGTCCCTTACACCCTAACTCACACACACTCTTAGCATCTGCTAATTCTAAACCCGAAAAAAAGAAAAAAGGGAGGTTCTAAAAGTTCCTACGTTTCGGTTGCTTATCAAGTAACTGTGTCCAGGTACAAAGTTATTGGTTCTCCACTAAAGCCAGCACTCATCACTTTGCTCTCTAGACTTTAGAACACAGTGGTCACAGAGGTTACAGTGAAGGTGGTACAGATTCTCCACAATGATTTTTCTTCAGCGAGAAAGCTAACCAGTCGCCCTTGGAACAAGCTAGTAAGTTCTAAAAATACAAATACAGAAGTCCTGTGTTCTCATGATGATGTCATGATTTTATTTTGTATCAAGGTAAAAATATAGGAGAAGAGTGCTCCAGAACTTTCTGGTCCGTCAACAACTTAGTCCATCTACTGACCCCTTAGTAGCATTCGGGCAGAATCCTCACAGGGATGTCCAGGGCCCTGGACCGGGGTTCCTGGAGTCACTTCCAGATAGTGTCACTTAAATGCCACCACAGATGTGCCCGAGGACTCTGAGTAAATAACCTCAGCACACTTTACTTACTCCTGTTCTAAAGGCAGAAGTCACACACACATCTGCTCTATTATGCAGAAGTGAATGACAACCCAGCCCACAATATGAACCATGAAACGAAGCACAGCTTTTTTAGAGTCTAAGTGGAACAGGTGGCCTGACTGGGGTTTGGCCAAGTGGTGTATAGGAAGTCTTCCCTTAATGTCATTGATAGGTTTTGTGACTTTAAGGGAAACCACTCATAATGAAACCAATTTTTACTGGAGGCTGATAGACACAGTAAAGCCCCTGTGGCAATTCATCAACATCACAAAGAAACAAAGCTGGACAAAATGACATTAATCAAAGACCAGCTGTATTTAGTTAGGGGGAATACTAGTGAAAGGTGGGCTTGCTTATGGCCCACTCACAGTCCGAGGCCTCCAAAGGCTGTGATGGCCCAGGAATGTCACCTGTGCCTACGACTGAGTGACGGTAGCTGAGACACCAGTCCCTGAGACCCGGGGTTCCTCCCCTCTAGGAATTTTCAGCTCACATGAAGGAGAAGATAAAATATAACCCAAAGAATTACCAAAGCAAGCTGTGTGTTTTGAGTAATAATGAGAAGTATTTTTCTTCTATTTTTCTCTTTGTTTGAGAGTTATAAGTCATTATAAAACACTGATTACAAGCACAGGTTCTGAAGACGAGCTTCGTCAGTTGGAAACCCAGCTCCACTTTGTGTTTGCTGTGCAGCCTTTGGAAAAATGTTTCCCTTCTCTGTGCCTGGGTCTTTTTCATCTTAAAAAAGAGATAATAATACTGCATACCTCTTAAGAGTTTTTATGAGGCTTAAATGAGGTAACACGTGCAAAGCTCTTAGAACAGCCTGGCATATAACAAGTGTCCAACGTACATTAGTTATCAGAACGCATCTCCCCCAACATGACCTTGGGGTGGAGAAAAGACACGGGGGGTGGGGGGATCATAGATGGAGGAAAGGAGTTGTGTTTGAGGAGGGGGTTGAGAACCCCTGAAAGAGGATCCATAAGTCCCAAACAGCAGAAGCAGCAGAGTCCTGTGTAGGGAAGCTCTCACTGACCACATGTCCCAGACACGTATGGTAAGTGGAAAAGCCTGGAAACAGAGGCTGGGTCTACATGGTAGCAGGTCATGGACGGCTTAATGAAGAGATGGGGTCACAGGGAGCTACGAAAGATTGGTGAGTAAGGGAAACACAACAGGGATACTAAAATGGACCACTTACTTAGAAAGCTCTTATGGGACTTTAGGCAAAAGGTTATGAGGCCTGAACTAGGTGGAGAGAGCAAAAGTGAAAACTGCAGGAGACTAGAGGAACTTCAATGATGATCTAGGAAGCCGCCACCCACCCAGACAGGTCACTGACAGAGCCGGCCTCCCTGGCCCACCTGAGCTGGGCACTTTGCCATCCTGCAGCACATGAAGCACTCTTCATCGCTGCCCTCACCACTTTCCCGTCAGGCCCAAGGGCCCTCCGCAACTGTGCTCTCAATGAAGGCAGGGGCCCATCTATACTTGTCGCCAGGAGATAGTGAAAATATTTAGCCACTGGGCGACACAGGCACTAACCATTCAAACAGAGTCCTGGGGCCTTAGAGTACCAGGGGTTATGGGGAGTTCCTGAAGGAGGGGCTGGATGGCCAGCCGGGAAGGGAGGCACTTAAGGGGCCTGGGGCAGAGGTTCTGCCAACTGGTGTGGAAGCATTTCAGTATGTTAACAACTGGGGTGGCCAAACGAGTGCATACTGAGTGATTCATTATGCACTTGGATTAATGACCCCCGAACAATGACACTGTCTGCCCTGCACTGTGCTAGCCACTTTGCAGGTATTATTATTACGATTATTTTAATCCTCACCTGAGGACTTATTTTTTACTGCTTTTAAAGAGAGAGGAAGGGAAAGAGAGAAACATCGTTGCAAGAGAGAAGCATCGATTGGTCACCTCCCATATGCACCTGGACCGGGGACCCAATTTACTCCCTAGGAATGTGCCCTGGCTGGGAATCTAACCTGCAACCCTTCAGTTACTGGACGATGCTCCAACCAACTGAGCCACACCGGTCAGGGTGCAGGCATGATTTATCCTCCTTACAAAGTTCTAAACGCACATGTCATTTTACAGATGAGGAAACTAGGACTCTGAAAGGTTCATTTTCTTCGAAGTCATGCAGCAGTAGGTTGAGAGGTGGGATTCAAAGCTGAATCTATTTAACTCTAAAGCTTGAGGATTTAGAGTTAAACTCAGCTTGAGGGGCTCTGAGGCTTGATGACCTTGTTCTACCTCTTACTCGCTGTGTGACTTTTGGAGAGGTATTTTACATCTAGTTGAAATGAGAAAATCACGTCTTACTTCTGTGACGTGGGCAAGTGACTTAAGCTTTCTGTGCCCCAGTTGCCTACTGTGTAAAATGGGAATAATAAAAATCCCTGCAGTGCTTAACAGAGCCTCTCACAGCATATAAGCACTTCCTAAGCTTAGCTGTTGTTATACCAGTGCCTCGCTCAGTACCGAGCACATAGTAGGTACACTGTTAGTACTCGTTGAATTTTGAGTGCTTTTCCTGCTGCCTCCAGATTGAGCACGATCACTATTATTATCAGGATACCCTCTAATCCTGAGACAACAAAATGGAAACATGAGAACTTGTCTCTGGAGGGCCCAGGCTCTTACAATTGCTGAGCTTCACCGTCATCTACCAAAAGAGTGGGAGGATACACAACGTATTCTTCCAAGCTTTAAGAAGCAAGTAATTGAGTTAGAATTTGCTGTCATCAAGCTTTGAGATTTTCTCAACTTAAAAAAAAAATTGGTAGCACTATGAGAAGCACTAGGGGTAGGAAAGACAGGAGAGATAACTGCTCTGGAAGACACAGCCAAGCCTGTCCACCAGGTCTGTTCTGTCCGTCCACCCCCAGCCTCTCAGCTTTGCATGAGCAAATCAGCACGCAGAGTACTGGCCGCAGCTGTTCCCACTCAGGCAGTCTCTGGGCTTTGGCCCCGGGATTCCTCTCAGTACAGGGCCTCTGGGCTCACTGCTGTGGACTTTATTTCTTGTCTGCACGACTAGTTGAAGCCTAAGTACTATCATCAGATGATTACAGCGCTGTCGTTGCCTGAAATTGAGTCTAGTCTGAATAAGAACAATGCAGACGCACCATGAACTGTGCACACAATAGCCCTGTGAGAAGGAACCATGAGTGAGAAGTGGGTGGGTGAAAACACAATGTGAATAAATTCTCTACACTGTGCCTACCTTTCAGTGTTAGAACATTTAGGATAGTTTTGGTCAAAGTTGCTTATGTGAACGAATAACTATTTGCATGACATCCTGAATTCTTTAGGGGAAAAGCTCTATAAAAATACATTATTAGCGCTTTATGTAAGCAAGACTCCTCTTGCTCTTCTGGGAACAGACAAATCCGCTTCTTAATTCAACTTTTTCTATCTCTCACAATTCTGGCATACTTTACATCCTTTTTTTTTTTTTTTTTTTTTTTTTTATCTTGGCTGCCCGACTACTATAGAATTCCTTTATCTCCAAATAGCATTTGACTAGGGGTGGGCACCAAAACCTGTTTTCTTCCTTCTCCCATTTCCTTTCCTAAACTGTTACAGCCCCGCCCTCCTTCTTGTCCTGAATCCCACAGGTTGGTTCAGAGAACCTTCGTCTGTTTCTATGGTCGTCTTCACAGGGCCCTGCCTCCGTCCCACTGCCGAGGAAGCAGATTCCTCAATGATGACGGCACTCAAACTCGCTCAAGTGACACCAGGACCCTCTCGAGCCGCAGAATGGGGAGGCACCACCACAAAAAATCCGCACTGTTCAGTACAGTAGCCACTTGGCCGATGCGGCCCATGCCGCTGAGGAGCTGAATTTTAAA